AAGAAGAAGAAGCCCTAGATGTCAGCTAATAGAATTATTCTTTCTTTGAGTAATTTTCAGAAATATATACCTCTAAGAATGAGCTAACATATCAGTAGAGTGCTTCATGTGTACCTGGGTTGTAGTAAAAGCATAATAATTTTCTGTTGCTGTTTGCTCATCTAGGTAGTTATTTATTGAGCAATTATACATTTGTCCACCCAGACAGCCATCTACTCATGCATGCAGAAGTCCCTTACTGAGTTTCCTGGTTGCTGAGAATTGTACATTTAGGATAAGTCATGGCATTGTCCTGGAAGAGAAATGAAATACCAAAGAGAGGGCTGGGAAGGTGGCTCAGTGGTAGAGCACTTGCCTTGCATGCATGAGGCCCTGGGTTCAATTCCTCAGCACCACATAAGCAGAAAAAAGCTGGAAGTGGCGCTATGGCTCAAGTGTTAGAGCATAGAGCGCTAGCCTTGAGCTGAAGAGCTGAGGGACAGCGCCCAGGCCCAGAGTTCAGGCCCCATGACTGGACCCAAAAAATAAAAAAAGAAAGAAAGAAAAAGAAATACCAAAGAGAGAGAGAACCATTTGAGGACCTGGATTTTCAAATAGTATTGTCTGAACTATTATTTATTATCATGCCTGAAGAGAAGAAATAGATTTATTGCCATCTGAATGACTCAGAAAGCATCTATTCAATTAGCGCTTTGCCTTTCAAAGCATCAGGGATGTGTTCATCTCAAAGGTCTTCTCATCATTCTCAGCACTCAAAGGCTTTAGAATTATAGATTTATTTTTTTTGGTCATGGGGGCCCGAATTCTGGGCCTGGGTGTTGTCCCTGAGCTCTTCAGCTCAAGGCTAGTGCTCTACCACTTGAGTCACAGCGCCACTTCCAGCTTTTTCTGCTTATGTGGTAATGAGGAATGGAACCCATGGCCTCATGCATGCAAGTCAAGCACTCTATCACTGAGCCACTTTCCCAGCCCCTAGAATTATAGCTTTAATACCTATAAATGTTGGGCTGTGTGTGTGTGTGTGTGTGTGTGTGTGTGTGTATGTGTTGGTCCAGGAGCTTGAACTTACAGCCTAGGCATTGTCATTTAGCTTTTTCCCTCAGGCTAGCACTCTACCACTTGAGTCACAGCTCTATGTCTGGCTTTTTTGTATTCAACTGGAAATAAGAGTCTCACTAATGCCGGGCGCTGGTGGCTCACGCCTGTAATCCTAGCTACTCAGGAGGCTGAGATCTGAGGATCGCGGTTCAAAGCCAGCCCGGGCAAGAGAGACCGTGAGACTCCTATCTCCAATAAACCACCAGAAA